ACCTGCCGGCCGGTAAGCTCCCCGCGCGCTCCCACATCTCCCAATCCCTGGCGAATAACAAGAGAGGCTCCACTTAGACTTCAGCAAACTTGAAGGTGCCAACCTCGCGTTGAGAACCAAGGCTGGGGGCGGCAATCCCACGAGCAGGGACCAAAATCCTAATAATCTACAGCGCCGCCTCTGGTTTCACCCCCTACACCGGGAGCACGGAACAGAGTCCAGGAGGCTACGATCCTCACACTAACTGAAAAAACATTCCCTAGTGCCGGAGTGTGGACCCAAAAACGGTTCCTTGTGACATTGACACTCCTTCCGACCCCTCATACCCCTTTCTTCTGCCTTCCGCCAGTGGAAAATAGGACTGAGTGAAAAATGACATGGTACTGCACTGTTCATCGTATTGCAGTACACTGCGAACGGACCTCAGCCGTTCGGCAGAGGCGCGGTAGAGGCTTGGCAGGACAGTGGTGGTGGGCCCAAAGAAACTTTGTTGTGTGCCCAGGTCCAACTGTTGGGCAGAAGCCACACGAGTGAAAACATGTGCTCTGGCAAAGAAAAAGAAAAACATGGCACCAAAAAAAAAAAAATCTTTACAAAAAGAAAACACCCGTACAAGTCAACAGAAAAAGAGCACCTGCAGGTCGGGAGCAGCCTCCGCATGTTCTCTCGTGAACACGGTTCTGGCTGCTACGGGGTTCCCGTATGCCTACAATTAGGAGTAGTGGTAGGTAGGTAGTAAGAGGTGAAATTGTGAGAAGAATATAGCTTTTCAAAAAAAAAAAAGAAAAAAAAAAGAGCAGCTGTCACGCCGGAAAAAGAGCAACGCTGCAGAAAAAGACAAAAGGAAAAAGAAAAAAGAAGAGTATCCCGTTGCAGCTGTCATGCCGGAAAATGAGCAACGCTGCAGAAAAAGACAATCGGCCCTGACTAAGGGCATACTCACACTTGGACTCGATAGACTCAGCTCTGGATGCGCTTGCGGTCCAGTTCATCCACCAAACCGTAACTGCGGATGTCAGTGCGCCCTGATTTTTCTTTTTCCTTCAGAAAGTGCGCCCTGATTTCGGATGATGGCACCCCGTCTTTTCTGCTCTATAGAAGGCTGCCCTCGACTACTCTCCACATGCAAAAAAGACAAAAATATGGCGGTGTATCTTTCCATTTTCTAGTAGAAGATTCATTCTCACTGTCAACATTGGCGAGTAGTGCAGCAAGACCCACTGCCATCTCATGATAGTATCCATTGTGTGTCCGTCGTTTTTTTCTCTCTTTTTTTTTTTTCTCTCTTATGGAAAAGGCAATGGCCTTGAGATATCATCATTGAATTGAAGGGTCCCTAGTTCTTTTTTTTTTTTTTTTTGAATTTTGTTGATGTGCTTTCATGGATCGGAACTCTGGCTGGGTAGTGCATAAGTGAAAACAATGTATGTGAAGGCCATACAGCCTTCTTTTTGTTCCAGTTGCTCGTGGCAGGTCCAGCACTTCAGCTCGCAGGGAGCTCGGTGCCGGTACCACCCACAATTTGCCAAGGGATGGTACCGTTCACTTTCAGGCTCGGCAAAATGTATTAGAGAAGTTGGTTGGTCATGAATTCTTTGGATTCATGATCAACCAACTTCTCTTGATTCAGTCTGAAAAAAAGGGTTTCAGAACTAGGGACATGACATTAGATTGCGATGGCCAGTTAATCCCCTCAGTCGAGGGCAATCAGTGCTGGTCATCGGATTATTGATGACTGCCGGCGTGTCGATCCAGGTAATCACTCATTCAGAGAGAACCATGGGCACGTGGCACGATTACATAACTTCTGTTTGTAATGTCAAGGGACGCTGGACCCGGTTTCCAGCAGGTGTTGCTCCCCACCAATAGATGGAGCCCCCCCGAGCATGCTAGTGGTGTCTGCTCTTATCAGCACCCCTAGCATTCACTCGGGTTGTTTTTCTTAAAAATAAAATAAAAATAAATGTATTCTTTGGTTCGTCAAAATAGGCCTGGGTGAACTGGTGGTTTCCACAAAAGTTGGCGCGCAGGGAAATTCAGCCTCGGCAAAAAGATGCTCGGAGGTAGTGGTGGTTTAAAAAAAAGAAGAAAAGAAAAGAAAAGAAAACGCCACCAGGCTTGCTAGGGGCGCTGATATGAGCCCCCATTCCTAGCAGGCCGGCTAGAGGTTCCAATCTATTGGCGGGGAGCAGCACCTGCTGGAAAACGGGTCCAGGGTCCCTGATACAGAATTTTCACGAGTATTGCCTGCTGATACCAGGCTTGCAGCCCAGCTCTTCAGTCACTGAGGGACAGCCTGAAACAACTAGGACTGCACTAGCTTGGCTGCAGCTGCGACATTTCCACACTAACTTTCTTGGTTCCCCTCCCTACCAAACCACTGCAAATCCACCAGGGATAGCTCTGAAGGGGGAAACGCATCTGGAAATTCCTCGGGGCCCGTCAAAGGGATCCGGGGATCAATCTGGAACCAATCATGAAATATGAGTGCATAATCCTTCCTGAGAGGGGTTGCCCCCTCCCTTCCCCCTGGCCATTCCACATGTGCCATCCACCCCCCATTATCTCCCTCCAGTCAGTCAGTGCAGAAGTCAGTGGTTGCTTTGTGAATGTCCTTTTTGTGTGTGAAAACTGCATCTTTTCCTGTGTGTTTTTCCATTGATCTCTGAGTTCAAGGGTGAATGAAGTGCTGTATTGTTTCACTGGTCTCTGCTCCATCTACCTTGAACCCTTCCATGGCATGTGCACAACGCCTCCACAATAGGCCCCACGATACCGCCTTTCTGCCGAGCGAGAGAAGGTTGGCTGGGAAGGCGGAGGGGGGAGGCTCTTACCAAGGTCTCAGAAGGATCACCCTCTAGTCCCATGGCCAGCCCACCCCCGTCCCAAGCTGCCACCAGCATCTTTCCCACCATCTCCATGTGAGGGCTGCTCCTGTGCATTGGAGGAAGACATGCTCAATTGTCTCCTGGATCTTGCGGCTGGGGAACGCCTCCTGGCATTTCCTGTGCCCAGGTTTTCAGAAACCACACAAGTTTCCCCTTTTTCCAATCTACCACTATCATAAAGCGTATCTTTTGTTTTATTTGCCACTTGGTTTTCTCTGAGTGTGGGCTTTCACCTCTGAATAAGCAGTTGTTCCTTGTGTTCCACAGAACTCGCATTACGATGCCTCTGCAGAGGTCAGGTGAGAAACACACAAGTCGAAATCGACAAGACGACGAAGCCGACGCGACAATAAGTCAAATCGACAGGACGCCAAAGCCGACACGACGACGGGAAATCGACAAGACGACCGAAGCCAACACAACAACGCGACTGAAGCCGATGTCCAAGTCAAACATAGCTTATTTAGAGAAAGCTCAACCCAAGAGTACCGCGAAAATGGTCTCGAGAATCCGCTAAACTCCCCCACCTTCTTCTGCGTAAGCTGCACCCACAACATTCCCCTTAACCTGTACCGGGGCAAGCCCCGGAGCCATGTATGAATGAGAGGACGAGCAAAGGCAAACAAAATCTATATGTAGCACTGTTTCCTACCAACCTGCTACTAGTTCCGCCGTATACCGCCACATTTTGTCCCTGGTCCGAGACAAGTTCCAAAAGACGGTCCCAAAAAAGTAGTCCTGAAACCCTTTGGCAGCGTTTTTGGCGCGATATTCCCTTCGCAGTGTCAAGACCTGCTCGAGGATTTCAGCCCGATCTGACACAGCCACCCAGTTACTGCGGCCATTTTGTGTTTCCGACAGGACCAGGATCGAAAATCCTGCCCATTTTTTTGTACCAAAGGGCCTGTTCCCCAGATAGACTCCTTGTTCTTTGTTCTCTGAACACTGCACAGGTATGGAAAATGCTGGTTGACCTTCAACCGACAGCCGACAAAGTCCCAGACCCCTGTTTTCTCATCAGTCCTCTTGAGAGTAAGCAAACGGGGGTAACATCTTTCAAAGTTTCTTTGAATCCCATTCGCGCGCCCAATTGACCTCTTGTCCTTTTTCTGATAGGCCAGGATGAGTGAGACATCGTCCATAAGTCTCACCCCGAATACCAGCCTCCTGCCGTTTCCCGACGAGACGAGAAATGCAGTCAGAATGCTGGACTTAGCTTGCTCTCCCTGAGGGAGGATGCCTGTCAGAATGCAGTCATCAGACCAGGAAAAGCCTGTTTTCTGTTTCAGTGAAGGCTTGCTAGTGCTTTCTCAACTACGGCCAAACCGGCCAAGATGATGGTCTACCTGCGACAATACACATTTTCTGAAGGACCAAGTTGTTGTTTTAGCTTCCACAGGTAGACCTAATCATCCGTTCTTTTCTTTTCTTTTTTTAAGAACTCGAATTTCATTACGGGGGCAGAGTACACAAGGCAAAATACATCGAAATCACGGTCCAAGCAGGGGCCAAATCGGCCTCATTCCCTTAGCGAGGAGTTGAGCGTATGCCCTGTGAAAAACAAAGCTCCCAGTTTAAAACGAAAGCAGACCAACATCTCACCTATGCTGAAAAAGCAGCTCCCGAAACTACAAGTCTGTATCAGCAATTGGGGAAGAATCAAGCTACAGTCTTCCCCTGATCACAACGCACCCTGATAACGAATGTACACAAGCTATCTCCCTGGTCCAGTGCAGCCAAAATGAGGGTGAGTTGTGTTCGGGGAAGAGGGTAGTTCTGTATTGTAAGTAAGGCCTTTTATTATACACAGGTGAAAAGTGGAAAAACGATGACGTTTATTTTATTTCTCCTTCTCCATTTTCAAAAAGCCCTAGATATAACCCCATTCTGACACAATGGGCACAGGAGTGACCGCGCCAGCGCTAGCGCCCTAACGCCGGCCGACCGGTGAGGCCCGGCCGCGCTCGGCTTGACCAGCGTGCAGGAGAGGTGAGCCCCTCCAGGCCGCTGGGCCTGTTCACGGGCCCGACACGTGGCCGTGGTGTTCAGCTTGCCACGTGCCACCTGTCGTTTGGTGACGTGGACGCCCCGCGACGCGTGAACAGGGGAAGCGCCAGCCGTGATTGATTGGAGGATTACTGCACAAAAGCGGCGCGGCTCTTTGAGCGAGCCATGACTACCATGGAGCGGAATTTGGAGAGGGAGCTACATATTGGAGCAAACGAATGGCTGATTACCTTGGAGAACCGATGCAGATGGCTACAGGAGATTGTGAGGGACATGTCTTTGCAGATGCAAATGGCGCCAGAGGTCGAAGGGGGAGCGATCGCTCTGGCTGGTTGGATGAAGGACAAAAGTGAGGACATGCTGGCGATCATCTGGGAGCTGGAGGAGGGGCCGGATCCTCAGCTTGACGTTTGCATCGATTGGAGGAGGGCATATGGCATCATGTCAGTCTGCAAGACCCTATTCAATGAGGGTCGCGATCTGTATGCTCTTCTGGAAGACCGGTTGGAGGGCATTATTGATCGTGAGGACGCGCACGAGGTAACAGTGGTACCATCAAGATTAACAACAACATCAATGGATGGGTGCGACAACAACAACAGTAACAATGATAACAACGGCAATAACACTAACAACAACAACAGCGACGAAAACATTATCAACAACAAAAACAACAACAACAACAGCGATAATATCAACCGCAACAACGACGATGACGGCAGTGACGACTATGGAAGCAGCGGGGCTGACAGCTGTGTCCGGGCAGTTGCGATCATCAGCGACATGATGGGGGAGATGCCGCAAGCGGATGAASGGGAGATTGGGGTTGGAAYGGAAAAGGGGTTTGTCATCTCCCCCCCCCCTCAACGATAGGGACGATGACGACAACAAAGAAGACAACAACAACAACAACAACAACAACAACAACAACAACAACAACGACGACGACGACGACGACGACGGCAGCCACGGCCAAGGGAGCAGCGGGGTAGGAAGTGACAGCCGGGCGGTTGAGATTATCATCACCGCAATGGGAGGGATGCTGCAAGTGGACATGGTAGGATATGGGTTTGATACAGAGAAGTGGTTTACTGCTTTCCCCCCTTCCATCCTTCATACGGAGTTCCTCCTCGTGGTTTGGCAGAGGATAGGAGTAGGATAGCTGGGGGTGATGATGTTGCCCGGCCTGCAATACCAATCATCAACGGGGGGCTGATCGTCTTGTTGATGGTTGTGGGTTAGCAGGAGGTCAATCCTTCCCTGCGCAGGGAAGTAATCAACGGTCAAATGACAGTTTCCCATGATAATGCATATTGGATACTGGACTGGACGTCCAGATCATACATCTCTCATCTTTGATAGAGCTTTGCTTTTTAGGCTTGATTGATAAAAGGTCATATACATCATATAGTGCTTAGGGTTTTGTGATTACACTTCGATAGATATAGAATGTGCACATATGTAGATAGTTTCTGCCTGTTGGACATAGTTACACAGCACGATATAGGGACGCTGGACCTGTTTTCCAGCAGATACAAATCACATCTCTGTAATACACATCACATCATGGCTAGGGTTTCGTTCGATTGGATTGATGCCGCAGTTTGTTTCGGAGACTCTATAGACTAGATGGACAGGGACGCTGGACCCGTTTTCCAGCACATATATTCACATCATTGCACACGGACGCTGGACCTGATTTCCAGCAGATACATTTTCATCATTGTACAGGGACGCTGGACCCGATTTCCAGCAGGTGTAGCCCCCCATCAATAGATGGAGCCTTCGGCGCCAGGGCCTACTTACCGGGGATGCTCTTATCACCTCGTTAAGTAGG